TGCCCTTCCTCTTGGGGAAGAGTGGCTGCCGGCAGCATATATGCCCAAGAAAGGCAGGTATGCACTCTTCTAGCCTCAAATTTTTATATCATCTAAATTTTGGGACCCTGGATCAAAGCCTTAGTCCTCGCTAAGCGAGGCACCACTGTATGCCCAAGAAAGGCAGGTAGGCACCCTTCTAGCCTCAAATTTTTATACCATCTAAATTTTGGGACCCTGGATTAAAGCCTTAGTCATGTTGTCCTAGTTACTGCTCTGCTGGTGCCTCATTTTCAGATTATACTCAAGCAAATTTTGTTATAAACACCTTCTAAATATTGCAGAAGACAATCCTTGGAATGAAGAAAGTTGTGGGCCAAAATAAACCACAGAGCTTCATAGTTGGATTTTTTTTCCTCTTCAAAATTTGGAAAATACCAATTGTGGGAGTGGAGGGATTCAGAATGAAACCACACTAGTGCTGGGAGCAGCAGATTTACTTTGGTCTCGCCATGCAATTTCCCCTGTGAAAATGGGTTTCCCTAGTTGTTATTTGACATGTTAGAGAAAGCATACCTCTACACCCACACCACACACAAAGAGAGAGAGAAAGAGAGAATGTTCACTTACAGAGCAAATAACAAATGGAACAGCAGGATGTTCATTTGCAAAAGGGTGCTGAGGGTGGATGAAGGTGAGCAAAAGTTTTCTCCCTTTTTTGTCATGGGCCAATCTGGCATCCATTTTGTTGACTATTTTCTAGGAAGTTGGTGAATATGAGAGGATTAAAATTTTGTTAGCAGTTGGGGAGGAAGATGAAGAAGAACATTTTCAGACATTCCCTCCCCCCGAATATTCTTTTCAGAAAAATTTTGGTGAGTCTGGTTCTCAGTGAAGATCTATAGCTGTTTGTCAGTGGTACATTAAGCGAAGAAACAGTGAGCCAACAGAAGAGGGCTAGAAGCCAAGCCTATTAAAAGCAGATGTCAAGTCATGCCCCAAATTCTCCATCCTGCTTATGGGAGGTGAGACTGAGAGATAGGGAGACCATTTTGTTGAATATTTTCCAAGGCAGATACATCATCCAGCATTATAGGGCTGACATGGTCTATGGTTCAAGCACATAGAGGCTCAACTCAATTGGGGGGGGGGATTTAAAGCATCTCTGGCACATGGACTCTAGGCTGCTGGTATTTAGCAGTTACCCCCCCACCCAGATTTCTCAAAAATTTCTATTTTGTTTTATAAAAATGAAACAAACAATCACAAACAAACAAATATGAGACATTGTGGCTCGGCACTAGCTGGAAGTCAAGATTTTTATTTCTCTCACCCTCATATACAAAGACGAGGAACAGCAAGATTTTCCTCCTCACCTCATAAGGAGGCAAGGGATGTTGTGGTGCTCAGGAGAAAAGAGAATAAGAATGATCAAAATTTTGTACAAATAAAAATTGCACAAAATCGCAAAGGCATAGGTTTTCAAAAATTACAAGCATTGGATGGATTGTCCGCACCTTTTAAAGCAGTCTAGAGGTACTTCTTTGCTTGCTGTGCATGTATGCTTTGCTTCTCAAAGGGAACGGACCCTAGTTTCTCACAGTGACTGCACAAATCATGAAGTCCAAGGCAAGAGAAAATGGCACCCCTTGTCTTGAAATGCAGAATCTTGCAAGACTTGAGAATTCATCTTTGAGGTATCTCATCCAGGACAGCCCAAATTGGGAAGAATGAAGACGTACATGAGTGTCCTTTACATCCCTGGTTTGATGCCCCTTGCTCAGCAGTATGACCATAAACCACATTGCCCTTCCCACCCATCCCTTCAAACACCTCCAAAGAAATGATTGTTTTTCTAAAGCAGCACGCATGGATACCCTAATAACTGTAATGTGTAGACGATTTTGTTCCTTTCCCTAGAAAAACCCACACCACCAAGGTTATATTTCTTTCCTTCACTTGTGCCTCATAAACCCAGTAAGAAGCAAAGTATTGCTATAGACAGAAGTGTCAGTAATGCAAAAGCTGATTGGTGTTAAAATGTGAGGTGATAAATACCTTTCACCCACAGTTGTACATGTAGCTTCAGATCAGGGCGGGTTTAACACTGTTTGCTGAGGGTTAAGATTAGCATGGCTAAGAAATGGGAACATAGACTTCTGCTGTTCCTTCCAAAAATATATTTTTTTAATTCAAAAATTGGGAGCAATGAAATCCATTTCAAGAGTGTGGGAAGATGGGTGGTCAGCATCCTGCAGGCTTGTGGGCTTGAGTTTGACCCAAGTGCTCTAAGAGAAAGAAAATTGGTCCCTATGTGCTAAGATATCCTTTCCCCAACAAACTGTGGGTCTACAAGGTGCAAGGTGTCTCAGAAAATGTGGCTGACCCCAGACTGAGTCAGGGTCATCTTGGACTGATCAAGAATGGAGGCCATTTATACCTTTTATTGCATTTTCTATATAGCTTAGTCCCAACATTTGCAAGAGAAACATTAGAAGTGAGAAAAATGAGTGTGCACATAGACTACAGTTTACTCCATGGTTCGAGCCAGAGTTGGCACAGTTAAAGTCAATGTATTTCCCACTGACTCCACAATGTGCATCTGAACACGTATAAGCCCAGTCCTTTTTTTTTTTTTTCATGGGCATTTGTTGCTTTTTCTACAGCTGGCAGGAGCTGGTGTTATTTTGTAGAGATTCTGCTTGTATCATTTCTTTTTTGTTTCTGGCACGTGTGATCACCTATATAGGTCCAAAGAGGTGGTAGCATTTTGAAAAAAAAATTGGCAAGTGACATAGTACTGCATTGATATAACGATTTCTGAAACTGCAGGACTTGTTGGACATAGAACTAAACTGGAGAAGCATAACAAAAAAAATATTCAAAGGAGAGGCAAGAAGTGGTCAATTGACTGGCATACCATACTGCATTGAAGGATATGCCAGGTCAGCAAGAACATCCCTCATGTCAGATGAAGACCACCCTTTCAGATGTTGTCATAGCAGCACAGCACTATGCCATGTGCATTAATGACAGAACAGGATGGACTACGTATGATCCTGGTGAGAATTGTAGCAATTTGAGGAGTGGTGTAGACTCTTGCCTTAAAAATTGCCTGGGATAATAAAACATTCCATGTGAAGAAAAGGCCATTGATCTGATACTAGGACACTTCAAATCAACCCAAAATAATCTAGGATAGCTTCCCTGACTAGTAAACACCCTGAATCTAGTAGGCTGGTCTTTTAAAAGTTCTCTCCCTCAAGTAGCACCATCCAGTTTTTCCCTGAATATTGCAAAAGCTGGGATAATGATGGGCTGTTAAGGGAACTTCAGGGCATTTAATGTGGCCATCATAGCCTTATCCAGTTTAGTACACCGAAGAGCTTTTAGCCTACCCCACTCCTGTTGCCCTGCAGTGACTGTAACCTGAGGCGAGTGCCTCAGCCTTCATAATGGCATGGTGGCTCTGGTGAGTTGGACTATTGGGGGACAAAGGCAGCACTGTATGAACAGCAGGGCACTGGTGTCTAAATACCTTGATAACAATGCTTTCAAATACGTGAGATATCTAAATATATACAAAAATATATCTGGCTGTTTCTGTCCGTATTTGCTAGTAATAAGAATCTGAGCTATATAATATAGCGAGAATATGTTAAATGTGATTTACTTCTTGTGGAGAAGGAAACCAAGGTCTCTTGAAATAGCCTCAACTACCTTGGGTCTAAAGAAATTCTTGTTGGCTTATATGAGTGACTGGAGCTCTGTTAGTGGTTGTAGGTTCTGCATCTTGCCTGGAAATTTGGGGGGTGGGGGTGGGATATTGTTTTCCTTCACATCTCCTGTGTTTATTCATGCTTTTCAGAATCTACACCATACAGAACTTTTTTTCATGCTTCACACACACAAACACTCCATCCAATTATTTACTACCTTTCACACACAAACAAATATTCCAGATGTCTGTTCCAATTTTATTGCTTTTTTTTTAAACCTCACCAACTTCTTTGTCCCCACATTGTTTATTGCTCCTGATTTTTTGCATAGCGCTAGCTATGCCGATCAGGCATTTAGGCTAGAGGCACTGATGGTGCAAAAGGAGGTTCATAAAAGGAAAGCTAGCAGGCTACCGTGATGTTGTCTGGCTTGTGTTGCACGAGTCTCGAGATGCACTGGATTTCATTAAGCCCATGAGCTTACCCAGTAATGTGATCTGAGAAAACACTCAGTGCTGCTTTTAAAACTTGGACAAAGACAGTCTATTTTATTATTTTAAAATGAGCTCTCACTTCTTCCTTTTATTTAAAAATGAGCTCTCACTTCTTCCTTTCCCTCCACATTCTCTTGTTGCCTTTCTCCAGGTGCCTTTAGGAACTGAAAATCTCATCCACTTCCACAGTCCTGTTTGTTGTCATTCTCCTCCTCTCTCACTCCTTCTCTGACCACCTTGTCTCTTCTCACTGTATTTTGTGCCTTCTCATATTATCAACACATTTTGGGGGGTGGGGTGGGGTGGGGGTGGAGAGAGATTAACCAGTAGAGTGAGCATCAGGAGAGCTAATAGCACATATTGTATATAGGAGGGTTCCCAAATAAGCATCCATCTACTCCATGGATTTCAGGGCCCAATCTTGAGACCAAGAGTGCACCCCCTTATAATATCACAGCAGTTGGACTTACGATGTCACTGAGACAAGACAAGACAGGGTTGGGAGTTAAACAAAGGCCACACCCAGGCAAGCACTTTCACACTGGTGCCAGGTGGGTGCTCAGGCTTTAAAACCATCTCTTGCACACCAATAAAATTTTCTCCTCCAGCACAATTTGCTCTGAGACTGGTCTCCCTTATTGGATGATGGGGAATCATAGCCTTTTCTTGAGACTCAGACCAAGTGACCTGAGATCAGGCAACACATTCAAGTGCAGAGGGGCTCTAATAGACTTGAAGCCTGAACCAAGCTACGTACCATAGGCCTCTCTAAAGCCTGGCCCATCTAAACTGGAGTTGATTCACTCACCAAAATTATGATCCCTAGAGGACGGAACCTCTGAGCCGAACATCACCGAACACACAGCAGCCTTCTTGATCACAGATCACTCTCCTCCAAAAAATGCAGACAATGCAGCTGGTAAGAGATAATCAAAAAGAATGAAACCAATCGGAAAGCCAGAGGTCTGCCCCTTTAAGCCAAGCCATGCCTCAGTTAGCAGAGGGCATCCAGAGAAGGCTGCACGGGGAGTAGAGATGGGCAGAAACCGGCAAACTGGTGGCTTGTGATGGTTCGAGGTTTGAAGCTAGCCACACACCATGAGCCACGAACTATCATGAACCCCCCCAAAAAAACAAACTGGTTTATAGTTCGTTTTTCAGGTTCATGCTATTGTGGGGGCCACATGTGCACAGACAGCAGGTCTGTCTTCTGTACAACAGGCCAGGCCTGCTGCCTCTCAGGACGGTGATGGTGGTTGTGGAGGAAGTGGCAGTAGGGCAGGCATCTCTAATAGTGAGGGACAATAGAAAGGCTTAGATGAAACCTAGAATCTCTCAGAAACTGTTTTCTGTACTGTAGGTGCTGATGCTCAAAGCTTTGAAACACCAGCATGCACTTGCATACCATGTTCAACTGTACCTCAGTTTTGGGCCAGACTCCCTTGGCCTACATACATCTGCTCATTCCTCTTAAGGATATCAGAAGGGCCCTGTTATATATCACCATAGACTAATTTAGCAGCTATTCAGAGCATTTGTTCCCTTCATGTAGCGGATTCTGTATTGTTGTTTTTGGGCTTTCCGCACTGTCTAAGTGATGATGACCATGACATGTTTAGTATGGTGACATTTCCCCACATTTCAGTGATTTCAGTGCTTTTTGTCTTACTTGCAAAGCATGACTTATGGGGGGGGGGGTTGTCCTCCCCTCCCCTCTGAGCTTTGCACTATGCTGCATACCACGGCCAAGGCAGCCCCCGTAAATATGCCAATGTATCAAGGGATCATGGGGCCTATAATTCTGTGATCCAGAATTTTCAGCACAAGAGCTTTCTGCCTGCTGTTTATAAATAAAGATGGAAGCAGTTTTGGGAGTGGGGAATGGCCATGCTCCTCATTACATTTCCAGTTATTCCCCACACAAACAGCTCCATAACCGAAGGTCCAACACAGAAGTAGACTTATTGGGTGGGCATTGGGGGGGGGGTTAGAAAGATGTCAGTAGTTTCCTGGAGAGATGCTTTCCAAAGTTCGGTTTAGACATTAATCTCACTTAAGCACTGTTTGGAACAAGCAACAGCCAACCACAACATGTTCAGATGGAACTTTTTCTCATCTGGAGGAGCCTTAAGTCTAGTATTCGGTTCATACAGTGGCCAACTAGATGCCTGTGGGAAGCCCACAGGTTGTGAGTGCATTAACACCTTCCTGCTGAGCCAACCGCCAGGTATGCTTCCTTCTCAGTGAACTGTGGGTTTGGTTTTACCAAAACAATGCAGAAGATGACCTTCAAGAATGTAACTAACAGTTTGGAGTTGGCTTTAATACATTTCAGAGTGTTGGGAAAGTTCCTTTTCCAAACTAAAACTTTCACAATTCCCCAGCAAGCATGGCTTGAAGCCAAATTGTGTGTGGGGGTGGGGGATGTTCTGGGCTTCGTGGTTTGCATGTTTTTCTCAAGTCTGAAATATCTTATGTCTTAACTGGCTTTGACCAACACCGACATCCAGGATAGAGTGCAAAATACAACACAATGTGCAAACACATAAAATCAGATAATATTATTGTCATCACAATGGAAACAGCAAACAGTACAAAATCAGAAGTGTTACAACTTGCTCTTCTTTAATTGTGGTCATTTCAAGTTGAACAAGTCTGAACAAAAATTTTTGCATCATCTCTGAAACAATATTCTGAGGTTTAGGCTTACAGGGAGCTATGTCTGTTCATGGCCCCTCCCATGTCCTTGATGTTCTGAGTTGGCACACAGAAAATACCTTCAGGGCACTGACCACAATGGATTCTGGGGACCTTGGGAAAACATTTGGGAGGAGTTGGTTGTTCAGCAACATAGGACTGAAGCAAGTTAGGGCTCTGTAAGTCATTAAAGAAGATTATTTTAAGTGGGGTAAGCATCCCATTATGTGGAAGCATTTGTGAAAGATTTTGTTTTAAGGTATTAGCACCTGTTGCAAAGCTTTACATGTCTCTTTTAATCACAATAGATGCTTTATTTCAGTAATCTATCTATCTATCTATCTATCTATCTATCTATCTATCTATCTATCTATCTATCTATCTATCTATCTATCTATCTATCTATCTATATCTTATTTGTTTGTTTGTTTATTTATTTATATCCTGCCTATCTGGTCTTGCGACCACTCTAGGCAGCTTCCAAAAGTATATTTATATAGGTGCACTGAAATACATTTGGTGCAATATAACTGCTTTAAATAAATAAACAATAAAGAACAATCTATGTTCTCAAAATTTCTTTTGAAAGCACATGATATATGCTATTTTAATATTTTATATTGTATTTTTTCTGTAAACTGGCAGAGAGACTTGTCATGCTGCCTTTTGCCAGGACTGGCTAATCTATCGTGAGCAACGGAGCAATAGGAAGGCTCTGTTGAGCTCGCGGCAGTTGCAGAATTGTGAGTGGACTGTTGGGCCGGACCCTCGTTATCTCTACCTGTTGAAATAAAATAAAATAAAATAAAATAAAATAAAATAAATAAATAAATAAATAAATAAATAAATAAATAAATGATGGAAAAGTTGTGCCAACTAATAGTTCAGTAGGTTTCACATGCCAAAACAAGAGGGCTGAATGAAGACCTTAGAATATGTTGCATACGTGCATATGTTGAAGGACGAGTGGGAGGAGATAGCATGGAATGATGAAAATCTTATTAGTTATGGCTAGCAGTGTAACACAATTGTCATAAATATTTTTCACCAATTCCTAAAACTAAGGAGTCAGCACAGGCATTTGCTCTTGCATGTCAAGTTGTGCAACTTGGTGCACAGCAACACGTGCCTATGTTCTCTTCTTAACATGTGGCAATTTGCTGCCAACATTTGCAGTAGCTGCATTACAATGGCAGAGTGAGACTAGACAGGGATTTACCCCATGGTTTGGCCTGACCTGGGGATAAGCTGGTACATTTTTCCCTGGCAACCACATAACGTATGGGCCATTGTCAACCAGCCTGTCCCTGGTCCATGACTATCCATATCTTTTGGGGGATTTTTATTTTGTTTTGCTTTGTTTTAAAAAAGAGCCCTCGTAGGGCAGTTCTAATGCTTTATGCCTTTCAGATTTTTTTTAAAAAATTTGAAGTTTCCTCCCATTTCCCCTCTTTTCTCCCCTTTCCCTTTAAAGAGAGAAAGGACCAATAGGATCACTTGTGGTGCAACATGGTTTCCTGATCTTTGTGTGTGAAGGCAAGGATCACACTAAATGACATACAGTACTGCGTTTCTATGGGACCTTAAGGGACCCTACTTTAGTCATATCCAGCCCACTCCAATTTGGCCATACAGCCACACTCTCTGTAGAATTTGGGTCAGTATCTAAAGGCGTCAGCCAAATTTAGTACTTTTGAGTCTTAACACTGCTGGTCTTGGAGAAGTTGCAGACATGGACCATGGCTTCCTGAATCTACTGGCTATGCTGGCTGGGGGATTCCGGAATCTGCAGTCCAAAAGGTAGGTTTTCCAATTCTGAACAGTAGGTAAACAGGGACAGAGAAGGGCAGGGACTCCATTCACTTCCTCCATATCCCACCCTTCCCACTGTCCACTAGGTCAGTGGTTCCCAACCTTGGGCCTCCAGATGTTCTTGGCCTACAACTCCCAGAAGCCTTCAGCAACACCTCTGCTGGCCAGGATTTTTGGGAGTTGAAGTCCAAGAACATCTGGAGGCCCAAGGTTGGGGACCACTGCACTAGGTGACAGAGGTGAACACTACCAAGCATCAGTCTGGCAGCTAGATATAAGGCAAAACCATATAGTTTAGACAGATGCTTTGCCGCAGTGACACATTTCGTTGGCAGAGAAGTTAGTATGGCGCAGCCTTAGAATTGCCACAGGGCAGCAAGACCATGCAATTTCTGCAGCAGCAATTTAGATTTCTCACCAGCACCATTTCAGCCTTGAAAGGAAGATTTCACCCAGTGTGATTGCATTTCAAAGCAACAACCCTGGCTTTAAACTAATTACACATTGTGTTCACTGAGAAGTAGATGTAAGGGTAGTGCTGTGGTTGATGACTGATATGAAATATTTAATGCTTCCAGAAAGAAAGCTTGGGAAATGCCTGAGCCTGTTCTTCCTGGAGGAGGGAAGGAAACCTCATTGCAATTTACTCATTGTAATTTGGAAATGTTTTAGGAGAAGACAGTGGACAGCACTCTGCAGATGTTCACTGCTGTGACAGCTGGGAGAGAGGGTGGGAGAGATTGTGGCAGCAGCTCTGGCCCCTCTCATTTTCCCGGGTAATCCCAGCCATTCCTTAATGAATAGAGATTACCTCTACCCATGTTTTAGATGCCTGCCAATTTTGGTTGGAACAGAACCCACCTTATTTGCTCGCATAGAAGACCTATGGCAAGAGAAGGGTGGGGAACGGACTGCACTCTTACTGATTCTCCTAGATTTCTTGGCAAGTTTTGATACCCTCAGTCCTTGTGGATTGTCTGCCTTATGTCCGAGCTGTGGCAGAGGCATGATGGTTGTGTTCCATTGGAGTTGACATCTAGAAACTGGTGCTGGCAGGTTTGTCTTTTGTTCTGCAATTCTTTTGTTACAAAATGTGGGTTTGTCAGCAAGATGACTCTAGGGTCCTCCTTCTAGATTCACCTGCGCCTACATGTTTAGTGAGAATGTGATGAAGGAAGGCAAGACCAAATGAGAGCCACAAAGCTTTCGTTGTATGTCATACTATGATTTCTGTAGCATAATAATTATCTTTCTTCTTCCCAGCTATTTCTTTTTAAACTCTTTTTCCTCTTCCTTTCTTTTCTTCCTTCTCTTTGCTACCAACAGTTGTCTCAATATGATGGCAGGACAGGCAAATCTAATGACATTCTGTTGATTAACAACTTCAGTCATCCAAAAGGCAACAGA